GGACCAATTCTACCCGAAGAATGCCGAGGATATGGCCAAAAAGAAGTTGCGGGACCTCAAACATACGAGAAGTATTAGGGAGTACATCAATGAATACACATCGTTGATGCTTGAACTCCCCGAGATGGTCGAGAAGGATCGGTTGTTCAACTTCATGGAGGGGTTGCAATCATGGGCGGCAATCGAGTTGAGACGCCAAAGGGTCCAAACATTACAAGAAGCTATATCGGCGGCCGAGGATCTTTTGGAGATCCGACGGGACTTTGTGCCCAAGAAGGTGATCAAGGACAAAGGTGGGGGAGTGAAGCCCTACAAGCCGACGAACAAACCTTTCTTAAGGGTCGGGAAAGAGCACCCGAAGCCGGTGCGAAAGACCGGAGTTGTTTCACGTGTGGAGGGCCACACTTTGTTAGGGATTGTCCGAAGAGGAAGGCTCTCAATGCTACCACCGTGGTCCAAGAGGAACGGGAGAAGTCCGAAGAAGCGAGGTTGGGAGCAATGAGAGTCCTCAATGCCGTGAAGGCAAGCGACGAAATGTTCACGGTGCCTACGGAGGAGGGACCCGAGGATGAACTCATATATTGTGAGGCCAAGGTAAACGGGGTACCTACGAAGGTCTTGATGGATTCGGGAGCATCTCGGAACTTCTTGTCCGAAGACAAGGCGACGGAATGGGTGTAAAGGTGACGAAGGGAATTGGGTGGATGAAACCGGCGGATTCGGCGTCAAAACCAATCACCGGCATGGCCAAACAAGTCCCGGTCCAAATTGGAGGATGGCACGGCAAATTGGACTTCATGGTGTTGCCGATGAGCGATTACAAAGTCATATTTGGCGTGAAGTTCATGAGGGAGATGACGGTGATCTTCCACAAGACCAAGTCAATGAGCTTCACGGAAGGTGACGTAAGTGTTCATGTTCCTTTACACGTTGAGAAAGTTAAATCACATGTTTTGTCGGCTATGCAAGTTTCGAAGGGGTTCAAGCGAGGGCACGAGACGTATTTCGTGGCTCTCAAGGAGGATGACCCGTCAAAGGGCCAAGATGTCCCGACGGAGATCAAAGGCGTACTTGACGAATTCAAGGACGTGATGCCCCCGAATTACCAAAGGAGTTGCCCCCGAGACGAGAAGTCGATCACGAGATCGAATTGGAGAAAGAAGCGAGACCTCCGGCAATGGGTCCATACCGGATGGCCCCGCCCGAATTGGAGGAACTTCGAAGACAACTAAAGGAGTTGTTGGATGCCGGCTACATCCGACCGTCGAAAGCTCCTTATGGCGCACCGGTGCTTTTCCAAAAGAAGCAAGACGGGAGCCTTCGGATGTGCGTCGACTACCGGGCGCTCAACAAAGTGACAATCAAGAACAAGTATCCGATACCGTTGGTGGCGGACTTATTCGACCGCTTGGGGAGGGCCAAGGTTTTCGAAGTTGGACTTGCGGTCGGGATATTGGCAAGTTCGGATTGCGGAGGGCGACGAGCCAAAGACCACTTGCGTAACGAGGTACGGCTCCTACGAGTTTTTAGTTATGCCCTTCGGCTTAACTAACGCGCCCGCTACCTTTTGCACTTTGATGAATACAATATTTCACCCATTTTTGGACAAGTTTGTTGTGGTGTACTTGGATGACATAGTCATCTATAGCGAGTCTTTAGACGAGCACGCGGAGCACTTGCGATTGGTGTTCCGGGCCTTACGGGAGAACAAATTGTATGTGAAATTGGAGAAATGCTCGTTCGCTCAATCGGAGGTGATGTTCCTCGGACACAAAGTGAAGCAAGGCGAGATCCTGATGGACACAAAGAAAGTGCGGGCAATTGTCGAGTGGGAACCGCCTAAGAACGTTTCCGAACTTCGGTCGTTCCTTGGGTTGGTGAACTATTACCGGCGATTCATTGCGGGATACTCGGCGAGGGCGACGCCATTGGAACTTGTTGAAACGAAAGTTGCTTGGGAGTGGGGTGACGAGCGCCAGCATCCTTCGGGAACTTGAAGGCGGCGGTCGTGGAGGACCCGGTACTTAGCCTCCCGGATTATTCTGGCCGTTCAGCTCGGCACCGATGCCTCGGACTATGCCATTGGAGGGGTGGTGATGCAAGATGGGCCTCCCGTGGCGTACGAGTCTCGGAAACTCAACGACACGGAGCGGAGGTACCCGGTCCACCACAAGGAAATGTGGCCTATCGTCCACCGTCTGCCTTCCGACGTGAGCCTACTGGGCGGGACGTCACTTTGTGCTCAAAACGGCCTAATGTGGCGGCCACCGTCTGCCAAAACTCCAAAGTGGCCACCCCTGAGCGGCACCGTGGCCAGTCTTTTTGGCGGAGTCCCACTACACTGGTGTAGACCGGGCAGCGACCAATGTCTCTGCTCCGATGTCGCCTAGCCTGGGCGGCCACCGTCTACCACTGCTCCGCCAATGTGGCCAGGACTGGAGGGCCACTGTGCGGCGGGACGTGTAGCCGGCCTAGACTTGCCAGGAACGTGTGGCGCTGT